CCGTAAAATTTAGTGTTTCTGACGCTTTTTGTTAGTCGGTTAACGAACTTTTAGTGATTTTCAACATAACCTTTGTATGGAAGGTGGGCGTGGTTATTATCCGATTTCTCCATTTTTGAACTSTATATGGAAATGCCTAAAAGAAACGACTTTGTACTTTCGAGATATGTACAAAAAAGTTAGTAGGGGGCGGGGCCACGCCCACTTTTCCAAAAAAATTACGTCCAAATATGCCCCTCCACAAGGCGATCCTTTGTGCCAAATTTCATTTTAATATATTTATTTATGGCTTAGTTATGACACTTTATAAGTTTAGGGTTTCCGCCATTTTGTGGGCGTGGCAGTGGGCCGCTTTTGCCCATCTTCGAACTTAACCTTCATATGGAGCCAAGAAATACGTGTACCAAGTTTCATCATGATATCTCAATTCTTACTCAAGTTACAGCTTGCACGGACGGACGGACAGACGGACCGACAGACAGACATCCGGATTTCAACTCTACTCGTCACCCTGATCACTTTGATATATATAACCTAACTCTTTTAGTTTTAGGACTTACAAACAACCGTTATGTGAACAAAACTATAATACTCTCTTTAGCAACTTTGTTGCGAGAGTATAAAAAGAGAGTTTCATAGTTGAACAAAGAATTCTTTTGAAAATCGGAGTCGGTGGCCATCTCGTTTTGGGCCCATTCGGTGAACATGCAACGCACTTGATTTTCGTTCGGCTTTAATTCTCCCATAAAATGGTTACGTACGTTACGTCGAATTGTTTCATCGATCGTTGCTCGAATTACCGATTCCGCTGGCTCTTTGCTCTTTGCGTAGCCTTAGCTATTTTTGAAAGCATAATTCTGGAAAACCAGAAATATCGATTGTATGGGAGATATATGTTGTAGTTGAAGAAGTTATAGAATCGAAATGCGTCGGGATATTAAAGTTGTTTGAATATCTTATAATTGAAATTGTTATAAAACCCATACGCTAAACTTCGCTTCAAAAATCGTCGACTCAAAATTGTTTTAAGACTCATAGTTTCTTAAGCATATTTTTTAGAATGATCCATAGAACACATCGTGTGTATGCGATTTTACTGTGAAATCGACTAGATGGAAAAAAGTCAAAACGGTTAAACATGTTATTAACAGACTTATGGTTATAAAATAAAGATTGTGTTAACAAACTAGACGGAGTTCTCATGGTGTACTAGAAATATAAATGGTATACAATTTAAGGCGGTTATTTCCATTACCAGTAAGGCCCCTTTTGGGGATTTGGTGCTTTCATCGGGTAAAACACAGGAAAAAGCGTTTACTTTGGTTTTCCACAAACGACCTTGCGTAGTTTGCCAAGAGGGCTCAGTTCAGTTTTTTTCTTTCATACATGCTTAAAATGAAACTAGGGCTGTTCATGTGAGCCATGTTTTGCATACATTAGGGCCGACCACGTCATTTTATTTACATTTCTGATTTGAGGAGTTATTATGTGGCACATGTTAGACCCTATACTATACGTAGAAGCTTAAATACAGTAACAATTTTTGCAGTGTATGAGTTTACAAAACAGCACATTCTCATGTCTATTCTAGGAATCAGTATCAGAATAAACGGTTGCTGATACATTTGTTGACCGAAATGGCCAGTTCCTGGCTTGACAGCATTCATCCAACAGGGAAACCAACGATTAGCCCGAGACCAACCCTTAGCGTTATATATTGCGTATATCCTTTGTGATTGTTGGACAATACAAAAAATGTACTAGGCATCCCACTGGTTTGTAGCCAAGGTGAATTCCCGCTGCGTTTACCGAAATTTTAATTGCCCTCCATTACGGCTTGTTATTGCTTCTTCGCTTATCTCCGCTTTGGCTCGTCGTTTGCTGTAAATAGGCTAATTAGTATTCAGGTTAGTGCAGTAATTATTGCTGTTTTTGTTTTCGTGTGCGCACTTTAAAGTTTCCGAAGTTGAAAGTCAAGTGCTTCGAAAGAGTTGCCTGAAAAGGCGAAGACGACACTGTTTCTTTTACTTTGGTAAACGCTGCAGGCTAAAGTGCCCAAAGTGACTTGACTACGCTTGTCGTAATTAAAAGTTGTATCTTTTACCTTGAACATCAGGCGCTAACCTGCGTGAAGGTCCCGGACAAAGCAATTATTATCTCTTGGCAAGCGGGTGTGGGAAGAAACCAAGTTTTCAAAGAAAATACAAAACAAGAAAAAAACGTTAACTTCGGGTGCACCGAACCTAATATGCCCTTCACAGGTGCATTTCTTTTAGTAACTATGTGTTCAGTTTGTATGGAAGAAATATGCTATCGTCAACCGATCTGAACAATTTCTTCGGAGACCACATTGTTGCTTTAGAAAATAACCTGCGTTAACTTTTGTGAAAATAGTAATGCACGAGGAGAAGCCTACTGCGTTTCGCTTGAAGTACGAGTATACATTAAGAAATTGCGTAATTGATTAAATACTGAGCAGCGGAGTTCTCACATGACGACATGATCGATGGACCTACTAAATTATCAGCTGCCAACTTAACATCTTGATTTCGCATTCGCTTCAGCTACCCACTGTGGCGTATACGTAACTTTCGGACATGCCAGCACACATATGTACACATGCACAGATAAATCATTTTAATGCGCGTTTTATTCACTTGAGTACACCTCATGTACATAATTCACTGCTTTATAGTTGATTCGTTGTTGTTGTGACAAACCAGGTGCAAATCCAGTGTTGACTCTGGAAATGGTGCAGAAACGCCTCTTGCACGGTCTATCAGGAGCGATGTGGCACTGAAGAGTGCAGTTAGCGCACAGGAACCTGCTGCGAGTACACACACACACACATGAAGCTTTTTCACAGAGGATGGAATGTTGATTGATTAATGTGACGTCAATCATAACGGAATGTTCGCAAACGCTGACAAGTTTTAAGATGGAAGACTTGTATTTGCCATATGATGCGTGTGGGTGTGTGTACATGCAAAAACTTCGTTTACATGGATCAGTAACGGCAACATAAATAGAAACGATCGCATCTCCATTCTTTGTAACACAAATAGTATCGGAAGAAATAGAAGGCTAATACAACTTGTTGGCATGTAAACACACACACATACAATTGTGATACATAAATTCCCACACATGTGTCTGTTTGCAAATAAGCTTGTATTTGGGTTTGTTTACTGCCGCCGGCGTCGTCAAAAAGCTCAAGTAATATGTCATGGGCCAGTTGGTGCGAGGGATAAGGTCAGCGTGCTTGTAGGTACAAATAAACACGAGTTCAATATCGTTGGTATGAGTGTGGGAAAACTTTTTTTGCGGTATAATTTAATAAAAGAGAAAGTTTCGGCCATGCAGCGTGCTTTCTGTGGGTCCCCCCGAATCGATTGGAACTTTGCTGAAGGTGTAAGAAGCATAAATATCCCATTCACTTGTAGAGGTGCTGAACGGTGGCTTTGCATCCTTCGAGCGCAGAGAAAATTGGGAACAGTTTGGCGCGCTCTCTCTTACGCTCTTGTAGAAGCGGAATATGTTACAAACGGAAATTCAAAATACATTACTGGCTAAAAAATATCTACATTCATTTTGAAACTTTTTAATGACTTCAAGGTCATCAATTTTGAGTTTTTAAGATATATTTTGCGAAATCCGCCCATTCTTAATTTCTGGTAAATTATTATTATCCATTTTAGTAAGTTTGCCTTCTGATGCATAGTGCAATTTGAGCTCCAAAGGCTCTCTATTTGTAAACCTTTTGCTTGTTGTTGGGCTCTCTTCCATCGTTACGTTCACTACGTGCTTACGTTGCGTAAGGCTGAGCGTATTCGGCGAATATATTGGCAAACGCTACAGGATATCAAATCAGTTTGTCGGCAATCGTAGCGAGTAACGGTGGATTACGCGAACAGCTCGCCAAATGCCATGAAACGCGTTGCTGGATGTTAAAGAGAGAAAAAAAAAACAAAAAAAGAAAAGCAACAATGTAGTGAGTTGGGACGTTTTCTTATCCGACTGTTGAATGGTATTTGTGTAGGATTTCGCCTTTTTATTGCCAAAAGCCTATGATTGCAGTGCATCAGACCACATAACACACATATGCTGGAGTACATGTGTGTGTTAGAGGTTCTTCATTGTGCTTAGCAGCAGAATTAATGAAGTGGTCACACATAGACGCGTTTAAATGAGCGACTTTATCTACATTTCAAATGCATTGTGTGGACAAATTGACTCCGATGGCTCTTACAAATGTGTACAGTGGTGTGTGTGCGTGAGTGCAAAAGTTTGCATGTGTAATAAAAGAAACGCAACAAATAAACAAGTAAACAATAACAGCTGTTAGCAATTGTAAGCGAATGCAACGCTTTTCCGTTAGGACATTGTGTTTCCTTGCTAATTGGGAGAAATACGAAGGACAATGCGCGAGATACCCCGGTATTAGGCGCAATTGTTGCATGCCGTCGGCACTTCATTTGCGGGACTTGAATTTCGGAAAACGACTTAACCAAGTGCTTCATATATTTCTGAAGTTATTTGATGGTGAAACCGCTGTGTTGGTGTAGTTTACACAATTTTCCAAGCGATTAAGTCTTAGACGCCCTAGGTCTGCTAATTTCATTGATTATCAAACCAATTCTCTTTTCAGAGCATTATTTATTACTCTTACGATAGCAACAAAATAAATATGAAAGTGTGGAAGGAAATGTAATATATTTCGAAAAAATAAGAAAATGATCATGTATTTTTTATAAAATGAGATTTACGCTTATAGTGTGACATAACCAAAAACATGAGCTTAATAAGAGTAACAGGTCTGTTTCCTTCATATCTCCAGATTAGTAACTTTGAGATTAACGTTCAATTAAATCCTGGAAGTCGTCTGATTATTTAGAACAAATCGTATGCTGGCGTTGTCTTTCACTGGCAATTAGTAAGCGCTGATGTACGAAAGTAGCATTTAATGTTAATGATAGAATTTGATACGACCGGTTAGCCATTCTTCGGTTCGCCACTGTTGAGTAAGCTAACAAAAAGATAAATACGAATTATGTAGAGAAGAAAAAGCAATGAGGCATTAAACATTCGCTTCATAACGAATGTTGCTGAATTTGTTCAAAAGGATTGCGTATACGCATGGGCGTATCTCAGTGCCACTGCCTGAAATCTAATAAACTGTAGCTGAAATTTAAAAATAATGAGATTCTATAGTATTGTTTTGAAATTTTTACCTGAATATCCATGCAGCTAATACTGTGGGAAATAGAATCACAGATTAACCTTGAAGGGCACCAGTTTTATACGAAGACACGACGAAACAGTCAAACTTGTAACAGAACATATCAGTGTAACAGGATATCAACAAAAATATCAGAAAGTTAAATTACATTTAAAAGCCACACGCTCCACTTCCCCCGACAAAATGTTTTGGATTTTACGACGCACCGGTGCAGCGAATTTCTTCAATTCGCTAAACAACAATTGCAGCTCATCGAAGGGCGGAAGTAGTTCGGGCACACAAGGTAAGCAAAGTTACCGGTTACATAAAAGTCAATTTATGAGAGAAATTCCAAAAATTTCAAATTCCAAATTTCCATTGAACATGAAAATTATAGGTGGCTTTAATTTTATTCGACAGCGTTGTGATTGATGGCAGAAGTGTGATTGTGCGAAAGACAGTTGTGTAATTGAAATGTAATTAACGATTATTGCAGCATACTTTCAACGAATTGAATTCAAGCCCAATTTTGTGGATTTCGCTTCAACGATCCTTGACTGTTTTATCTTTTCTTGTCTCCCGTGTACTTGTACGGAGTTTATAATTTGACGATTATATTATATTTATAATACATGCCAGCAAGCAAAAACGACCATATTCTTTTACTTATCTACAGACTAATGGTAATTCATAAGGATAATATTTATTTATTCAATAATTGAATTCGAATCAAAAACATTTTGTTCTGAAGGGACAAGAATCATATATACCAAGTTGTTTCAGGTTTCTCGTTTCTATCCACTGTGGCAAGTAGAATGGCTTTTAGAAATGTACAACAATAAGTTATTCAATTATGAAGTACACGTTAATGAAACGGTTCGTACATCATCAAGTGGAGTGAATAAACACAATGTGTTTAATGAGGGAGTTTTATGGAAAGTAACATTTATTTTTTATTTGAATGAATTTGATATAGAATTTCATATTAATTCATAAAAAACCTCTATAACAACAAAGCAATCATTTGACAGTACTTTGGCAAGCTTTGTGAAGTGATTCGCATTTCACAATATATTTTTCGATTCGCAGTCAATTATAATCGAGTACTTATACATGAAAATAAATTCTTCAGCAGGAAACTGAGTTGAAAAAGCAGCTTTCAATCAGCAGCGTGAAATCAATTGGTCCTGTAATTTTGAACGATTTATAAACAAATGGTAAATTTTTTTGCTAACTTTTGAAAAGAAAGTACATTCAAAGAAAGAATTAAATTTTCATATAAATCTGTTCTCAAATTCTTTCACAAGCATTTGTGATTCCAATAAAAAAGAAACAAAATTTCGATATATTTGACAAACGACTTTCTATAGTATTACAATTCCATTGCTTTAAGTTATTAATAAAGACCGTTATGTGAGTATTCCACGTGCTACAATACTGCTCAAATTTTAATGTGCATATACATAGTTTAACATGTTTTTAGATACATATGTATAAAGTTATAAACATACAATATAACACTGTAATAATAACAAACAGCTATGACTGTGAGAATGAGTAAATGTCTGCTTTTATTTGAGAGCGCTTAAACTTAGGGAAAACTTCCTACATTCTAGCAAGCAGCATATCCACAGACACATCGGCATACAGGGTGTACCATCCTTGATGTCCTGCATTAATTTTGCACGAAGTTTGTAAAACCCAGAGGGAAACTTTGGAGACCCTATGGCCATGTCTGTCCGTGTATTCGTTTGTATATACGCCAAGTAGTTCTTCAGTATTCGAGTGAACTGAAATTTAGCACCCACTCACGTCTACCTAAGAAGCTGGCCATTTGCCCGAACATCCGATATCAGATTTGATAAGATACATTAATGAAATTTGGCATACGCTATTTTCCACGGTAAGGTCACAGTTTCCAAACATAATGATCAAGATAAATATTTTCATTTTTGTTCCTTTAGTAAGTAACCCTAATAAAACGTTTTTCGTTTGATGCAAACCGTTGGCTGATTACGTATGATCTGCGATAGACATGGCGAACGATCTAGATGCACTTAAATCAATTATTTCATATCGTCAGGTCCAATGATGGTTGTTTGATAGCGCAAATGTCGGCAAATGTAGTATTCAGAATTTGATTTCCCTTCAGTGTAAAGTGATTCAATCGGTTCATAAATGTTCGAATTCTGCAATTTCTAAATACCGACCTAGAAGATGACACATCCTGTACCTCCATAATACTACAGCTAACACAACACTATGCAAAGCAGCAGCAGTTTTGTCCACAACAACATGTAGACTAACACAAAGTCAATGAAAGTTTGCATAAGCATATGGCGGAACTACTGCCACATGACTACACCACGCCTCACTGTGCTCACATGTGTGTTTACAACTAAAAAAGATTGCTTGAAGTGCTTGCCACAGTTCGCCGCCTACAGTGGCACATGTAGCTGCACTTCGATGCACTTTAATTATGGCTGGGAATAGAGAAAGTGAGCGTGTCCTCATATGGGTGTTCATTATGTTAATGCGTGGGCGAATGCACGAGTTCTTAAGCATGTAGAACATATGAGTTTGAGGATAAGTGTAGCATGCATAATGAATGAATGAATGTGCGCTTCTCAGAGAGATGACGCGTTAGTAAATATAAATAAAGCATAGCGTGAGGTTTGAGCGAATTTCATAGAGGAAAAAGTGGCAAAGCAGTGACCTTGAAAGGGAAACCACTTAGCCCTCGCCTTTTCTTCCTAATACATATGTGATAACAGTTGGTATATTGACAATTTTTTCCTTGTTTCTCCCATTTTCATTAGTTTTTCTAGAAAAAACTTCGGACCTTTTGTGGTTCTGGTGTTTTTCTTTAAATCTTATAAATAAAGCTGATATGATATTTCGTTATGTATCAATGGTCGGACAGAGGCTCTTTTTATCACTTTATGTTAAAATGCAGAAAAATTTATACATAAAAAATAAAATTCATTAGAGGTCGTGATATTCGACTAATCGATTAACTGGAATAACCGGATAGTGCATTATTCGAATAATAATATTGTTTGCAGTATAGTCGTAAGTCGCCGATTTTTCGATTAACCAGTCACTTTCCACTATCCACTAGTAAGCGTTCAACTTCTACTGTCTGAAACGGGGTATACCAATAATCGGTTTTTAGGTTATTCGAATACTCTTAAGAGCTCTAATTTCAAATCATAAGCATGTGTTCAATATTGGTGTATTAGCGGATGCCGTTAATCCGGTTATTCGATTAGTCCAATACCAAGAGTTCTACTAGAAAACCATTCAGAAGAATTTGCGATGAAAGAACTCAAATGTTGCTTTTTTGTTGACTGAAAGCAGCTATTTGCTGCTAGCAGAAATGTCAGTAGCAGTAACTAACTAGCAGATCTCTCTGACTTACACGTTCTTAATTTGAGGTCTTTTCTGATAGTTTTTTAGGAAAAGAAAGGCTTTTCCAGCGGAAATTTTGCTAGCTGGTGATCGTTAGTCGTTCAGAAACAAACCAATTGCTTTCATTAAATATATTTTATTACATAAAAAAACTGTAAAATGTCGAATGGGGTGCAAACGCAATTATTTGGTTCGAGTGTTCATGCAATTAGGGACAACGGCTCAATTATTATTAAATTAAATTAGTGGCATTTTGCCGTTATTTCAGCTTACTTCGCCACAATAGGGAATCACAAATGGAGTGTTCTCACACTTATGCTCTAGTACCTGGTCAATATTTAATTTCAATTTCCCAAAGGCGCTGTGAAAAAAATATATTCAAATTAAAAGTGAATTCGAGTCAAGTAGGCACGGAGTCCCTTATGCAGTTACTCAAAAATACCAGTGTATTTTGCGCACGAGTGCAGCATATTAAGCAGATGACTGGTAGGTGTTTTCTCAATGGGCGAAGAAGTCAAGACAAAATGGCAAAATAATTGCAGAGCGGCAGATAAGTTGCAGCAACGGAAAATACAGAATCTTTGGTGGAAAAGGAACATACAACCATACAAAGTGAGTGGGATGCCACTAGCGGGTGGAAACGGAAGCATTTGGTGTCCTCTAATAGCAGAAACAGTTATTATAATAAGTGGGCATACTAATGGCCAAAGGGAGTTACTAAAAAATTCAGTGAAGCGTTCCAACCAGTCCGCAGACCCAACGAAGCCAGCCAAATGGCAGAGCAATTGATAAAATGTGACTTGAGCCACAATATGCGGATGGTTTCATCTAAGCAGGCGTAAAGATGATGTGCATCTGCCGTTACCGTTGGTCCCTCGCTAAACTACGCACTGACACACTTTCTTCGCTTGCCTTCACGGAAATACGCACATTCTTTTTTTCGTTGTATATATACTTATATTCACACACACACGTTTACACATCTCTATGTACACATGCATATGAGTGTATAGTATACGCCACCCAGCGCTATCGACTCGTTCCTTCGCCATTTAACTACGATCGCACAGCTCTCTGCTGGATTTATGATTATTATTAGACACCTACTTCCGTTGACGACCTTTTGTATTTTTCCAAGCCTCATGCATCAGCAAATCTGTATAGCGGTTAAAAGCGAAAGGCGGCGTTTATACGAGCGAAGCAGGATTCGCCATTCAGCAAGGATAACGTTGCGAATCTTTGTCATAAAGTTTTTTGAAATGTGCAACTGTGCGTAAAATAACAAACTTAATGGTTGTCGCAAGTAGAGTGGAAGGTCGATGAATGGATTCTACCGTTATGTCGCCCGAAGGTGACGACGGCCTCATCGTGGAGACAAACCTGCGAACTGCTCCAAAGTATGCACTGCTTGTGCTCGCATAGTTCGAAGCTTAGTGCCTTGTATGAGCTTAGAACTCGATTTTTTTATTTTGTTATTTAATTATGCCGAGTCGGGGGTTAAAATGGGTTTTTAAATTAAATCAAGCTCCTTTGTCAGCATCTGACAATGTGGGCTTAAAAATAGGCTCTTATGGTGTTTATTGGAACGAGTATTTTTAGAAAAATTTTCCATTTTTGAATGAGAAATATGTGTGTATGTTACATATAAATACTTATATAGTGGTATAAAATTCAGCAGAAATTTTTTGTTGCACATTACTTAGATAAAATTAAACACTAACATAGGGTTTAATCAATTATTCAAAAAGTGTATTTTCGAAGGCTCATTTGGTTCTGGTTCAAGATTAAATTGCTTGACACTTTAACTTAGCCCATTATGAATAATACGTATGTCGCTCTGTGAGCCTTGCTAAGTAAAACCTTTTCTTTATGCTTATGATTGTAAACTAATTC